ATTTGTCACTCCCATCAACTCTTGAAATTTTATTTTTCACTATAAATTATTGGTATCTTAACTTTATCTTGGCACCAAATTTATTTACAAACTCTTTACTAAACAATACTTTTGAATAAAGTATAAGTGTTGTAGCCAAATTCTAAAATACATTGTGGGGCTCAATTGCTAACTTGAAGAAGTAGCAACTGACTTTGTAAATATTTAAAGGGAAGTGTTATTGGCATTTCAAAAATCTCATTCTACACTTCTCACAAGTGTATTTTTCTTTCTTAATATAAAAAGTTTGGAAGTGTAGAATGTGATTTTTAGAGTGTTAATAATTCCCATATACAAAATAAGCTACTAATTTTTTATTTTGCTAATTGAGTTGCTACCTCCTTTGAGAATGCATTTTTCCTAGGTGACATAGCAAATTTAAGTTTGCTACTGAAATGCTATCTTCCTTAGAGATGTTCTTAGTGTAGACAAAATGTAGTAAAAAAAAAAAAAATCTTCTATGAGAAGACTTGGCTACAATACAGCATATACTTAGTGTAATCATCAATTAATGATCACGTATTATAATAACAGTTGACGATCATATATGATAATCTTTAATAAATAATTGTATTAAGTATTTTAATGTATAACCATTTTCTGAGCTCTAAATTGTACTACATATTTCCATGTAATGACATCTAAAATGCTGCATCACTCCATAAAATAAACTTTCTTAATTCCATCTGAGTTCTAACTTAATACTGTTGTCGAAATATAGTTTAGGGAATGAGTCAAAAGGCAGTCTTTGTCATGACCACTTTTTTACCTGACGGGACTCACGATAAACGGTGACCACCGCTATTATCCCTTTACTGCAATGGTTTATATCCCAATCATGAGCGTTTACTTCCGTCAACGCTCGAAAACGGAACACCGTTTTGTCCCCTAACCGCCGTATTAGCTGACTGTGGCCAATATTACACCGTCGATCCTTGTATACATTTCAAATCTGATGCACTCCTGCACGCATCCCCACTTTTGGATTACACAATTATTACGGTAGATACGGGCGTGGTAAAAGAAGAGATTCATACATCTGACACTTCAGAAACATGAGACAGTAAATGCAATAAGTAAAAGTTCAATTCTAAGTTGACGTGTGACTTAAATTTTTATTATTTAAGATCATATTTTTCTTATTTTAAATTATTGTCATTTAATATTATAGTCTAATGATATTCTTTTTTTTGACCAAAAAAAAGGGCATTCAATTTTACTTATAAGTGAGAGGTTTTAGATTTGATTCTTACCAAAGATGAATGTGAACCACATTATTGCTAGCCCATTGTGAAGCTTAACTCATTTTTCCACACCCTTAGTGTAAATAATATCGTTTGTTAAAAAATAAATAAAATAAAAAAATAAAAACTACTTTACTTTTTTCAAAAACTACTTTGGGATTACTTTGCTTTTTTCAAAAACTACTTTTACTATGCTCTAAGAATAATCAGCTGTAAAATAAAATAGTTGAGCGTTTGATAAACTTTATTTTAAAAAATGCTGATTAGAAAAAGCAGTGTAAAAGTGTTTGGTAATTTTCAATGTAAAAATGGTATAAATGTATATAATGACAAAAGCTAGACATAGTAGTACAGGTTGGGTGATGGCAACAACAGCAGTGTCGAGAGTAATGGTAGTAATGGCATCGACAATGGTGGGAGTGTGGTGGTGTTGCTAATAATAGGGTGTGGTGGTTGGGGTGTAGAGGTAGTAGTTGTGGCAGTGGTAGTGGTGGTGATTGACCGTTGTTGGTGCATGGTGGCAATGATGGTGGTGGTGATGGGCGCAATGGTGTAATGTTCGCAGTTGCAGTTGTAAGTGGTGGCGACGACAATGGCAACGATTGTGATGAAAGTAGCAATGATGATGGCAAGTGGGGTTGGTGATGGTGATGGTGGCAGCAACAATTATAAGGGTATGGTAATAATGCCAATAGTAGAGTGTGGCGGTTGGGGTGCAGAGGTTACAATAGTAGTAGAGGCAATGGTAGTAGGGTGGTGGTTGTGGTGGTGGTGGTGGTGGTGGCGGCGGTGGCAGTGATGGTAACAATTATGACAATAGTAACAACAATGATGGTAGTTGTAATTGTGGTGGTGGTGGTTATGGTTGGTTGGTTGTGGTTGTGGTTGTGGCAACCACGATAATGGTGGTGACGATTTGGTGTCATTGGTAGTGGCAACAAATGTGGTGGTAATGGCGGTGGTGATGTAAGATTAGTTGTTGTAGTGGTAGGTGGTCACTTTGTTCCTCAAGGGTGAAATGTATGTACAAGAATAAATAACATCATTTTTAGAAATTAACGAGGGTATTGCATGAATTAAAAATATTCATTAAAGGCTTAACTCTGCTTTTTATAAAAGTAACTTTTAAAAGTAACCTACATATAGCTTTTAAAAGCTACTATCTCTAGGCCATTACTTTAAAAATAAGCAAGATATTTTATTTTTACCAAATATTTTTTTATTGCTTAACTTTAGAGTAAAACAGTTTTTACTTTTTTATTGCTTAACTTCAAAGTAAAACAGTTTTTGGTGGAAAAAAAAAAAAAAAAAAAAAAAAACCTATACCAAATGGAGCCTGAGTTTGGCCTCAAGGTAGACTAACCTATTAGTGAGTCTGGTGCTCTTGGTCTATATCCCATAGTGAGATTTTTTATTCCTTCCACTATAGTGCCATTAAAGTTGAAGGCTGGTACTGGTGGTGATGCTGGTCTATTTATCCTATTGTAGAATCCAGTGAATAGTGGTCGTCCATGATGCATCATTATATTATGAAAGGTGCTATTCTGCTTTGTGGTATTTTGCCATTCGAGAATGATGGTCTGTGATATTCCATTCAATCTTTCGTATTTAGTACTTTCGAGAATTTACTATTTATTTTTGGTTAATTTTGGAGTTTTGGTTACTTAGTTACAACGAATGCGTAAGCAAAAACCGTTCACAAAACGATGTTGTAACGAAGGGAAAATAAGCGATCAAAGGCAAGGGGTATTTTGTCTTTGGCTCTTGGGAGTCCAGGAAAGTGGAAAGGGGGACCAATCCTATGCTGACGCGAGTTGACCCAACTTTTTCCCTCGACCTGCAACGGCAATCCGGTTTCTGGTGCATCTTCCGATGATTTTTCCGGCGTTCCTTTACCATTTTGATCTCCGGCCAACGCTTGGAATAGCTTCCTCTCCTTCCCACGAGCATTTTCCTCATGGCAGGTCTCACAAGTTTAACAACTTATGAAATATGTTTAAGTAAATATTTGTTCCTCAATGGTTTTGTTTAGTAGGAAAAAAAAAAAGGAAAAAAAAAAAAAAAAAAAAGAGAAAAGCATGACATAACACAATACATCGAATTAAAAATTGAAGTGAGTGATGTTATCCACCAGTAGATTTACACTCTTTCAAATTAATACATTAAGTAGACTTTCGGTATTTGATTGGTTGTTTAGTTAACAACTAAAACGAGCAAAGACATAATACACATAGAGTCATAATTGATGGACGAAAATATTTAAGCGATATATTTGAATACGATAAGTTAACATATAATAGGTCCAGACAAGATTTACGACCCAAGTACAACGTAACACGAACATACTTAAACACTATACGAATCTAAAGTTTGGTAATTACCAATTAGGGGATGGTGGTGGGGGAAATGATCACAGATTTTGAATTTTGTCACTACAAAAATAAGACAGCTGTTGATTTTCGTCCAATCACTTTCCCTTCCCCATTTGTGCATTCAGTACCATCTTGCCCTGTATGATTCAAGTCCGTGCAACCTTCACTTTTCTAACTTGTGCTTGTGTGATCGTTGCACTTTAGTGGGAATTGATATTGTTGGTTGGAATACGAGTATAAAGTGATAGGGTATTTGGGAACAATATCTAAAAGTTGCCGGGGAATACGCCGAGTTCTGTCGGTGGTATTGCTTCCTTTTTCGCATCATAAAAAATTCCATTACCAAAAAAATATTTTTGTTTTTGCGGGTTTGTATAAATGTATTTAATATAATTATCATGCCAACGATCAGAAAGGTGATTGTGTTAATGCAAATATTCACATGAATTATATATGATCGTTAGATGTTGATTGTAGTAAATACAAACGAATATTGTAAATAATATTTATATGTAACTAATAAATTAATTTATTGAAAGTCGTTGCGGTAAATGACAATCTAATTTTCAGTGGTCTTTTCTCGGAGGCTACTTAGCATAGACGATGCAGTGAGCATATATCATGTATGTAAGGTATAGTATGAGCACTAGATACACATGTTTATGTATAAGAAGTTTTTTGAGTTTGGCAATTATATTGTAACGTGATATTAGATCAACATACTACATGTCATAGACCAGATTCCTCGTTTGGTATAAAAGATTAGATTGTAATGGATACGAAACTATTTTGAAAGTATGTTAAACAGAACATTATGACCAACTTGAAGGTAGAAGATAAATTACTCAAAAAGAGAACTCATCATGTCCCCAAAACGGTAGAATTAAAAAGGAGAAATTCTTCATATCTAATCCTCTCAAAATGAAAAATTGTGAACTCTACCATTATTATGTCTTGAATTCTAAAGGTTCTAATCTAATCCTCATTACCAAACGAAGCCATAAAGTTTAATATCAGTAGTAGTTATCCTCTAGACCAAACCAAGTCATAAAGTTGGGTAAAAGTTTAATACCAGTGGTAGTTATAACGTATACAAATGCATCTTTTTAATTACCAGAATCGGTATTATGATAGTCCATTAAAAGAAACCTTTTTTTTTTTTTTTTCTTTTTTATTAATTAAACAACAAATACATAAAACTACTTTCATCATTGTAAACTGCGGTATGAAGAAAAAGGTGCAAAGAGCGTTTAGTAAAATGGAAAAGAATAATGCGGCTACAGAAAGGCTTAAAAGAAGCTTCCTTTCTGCCTCAACAAAAACCAGCTTAACCAGACAGATTTTGCCTACTCCCTCCCTCCCTCCTCTCTCTCTCTCTCTCTCTCTCTCTCTCTCTCTCTCTCTCTCTCTCTATAGAACTCCTCTGAATTCATTCAGTTCTCTAACAAAGTCTGAAATTTTGAGGTCCAAAATTTGTTGAAAAAAACTTGATGTCTAGGCCACTGGAGCTTGATTACATAGGCCTAACAGAGACTTCATCTTCTCCAATGGAAAGAGGCTCTGAGAAGATTTCATCTTCCACTTCCTCTACCCTCTCCTCCACAACAGCTGAGGAAGAGAGGACCTCCTCCTCTGCCATCAACCTCAGGGAGACTGAGCTCAGGCTTGGCCTTCCTGGGTCCCACTCCCCTGACAGAAAAAAACTGTCAGGGCTCTCAATTTTTGGGAAAGATTTGGAGGACAACAAGAAGCCAAATGGGTTTTCTCCAAATCCTCCAAAGAACCCTGTGTCAGGGGCAAAAAGGGGATTCTCCGACGCCATTGATGGGTGTGAGAAATGGGTTTTCTCCATGGGTAATGGATCTGAGGTTGATGTGGGTAAAGCAGCAGTCTTGGGTTCTCCATTAGCCAAGAAAGAGGTTTCTTCTGTTCCTCTGCCACCAAAGCCATCAGCTCAGTTGGAGAAGAAGAAGCCTCAGGCCTCTGAGCATGCTGCTGCTCCTGCTGCCAAGTAAGCATTTTTTTTTTATTTTACCTTTTTACTCATTAATTGTTTCCGTTTTATTGGTTAATTTTGATTTCTGAGAAATTTGATTCAACAATTATAAGAAGAAAAAGAAAAATTAATAAATGTTTAATAGCTATTTCGTTTTTAATTTTTTTGTTTTCATTTTTTTGCGCTTGAGATACGAGGAAACAATGAATAATTAATGGTGATCGAGGGAGGGGAAGAAATAAAGAATTGTCTTCCAACTATATGAACTCATTTGGTCATTCCCTTGAATTTTTTTTTTTTTTTGGTTTTTTCCCCTGAACTAGTTGTGGTTTTTTTTTTTTTTTTTTGGGTGAGATTCCAGGAATTCATCTTAGCCGTTTATCTTAGTTTTTTTTAAGTACTGGTTTTGTTCAATTTTAAATAAAAATTTCAAAATGATTTCTGACCGCATGATAATTGATGAACGGATATAATGAACTGATCCTAGGATCCTTACAAAGAGGATCCGGATAGGATCCTATTCCTAATCTTTCATTTGAAAAATTTGTCTTCAAATATATGGAAATTGTCTCCCTTAATTTCTAGAAAATGTTAATTTATCTGCTAATCTTCTACCTCTGCAATAACTTGTAAGCTTAGCAGTGAATTCTTACATTTGTGGTATTTTTGCAACAGGGCACAGGTGGTAGGATGGCCCCCAATTCGATCGTTTCGGAAGAACTCCATGGCCTCTAATTTGGCGAAGAACAACGACGATGCTGAGGGCAAACAAGGGTCCGGGTGCCTGTATGTGAAGGTTGGCATGGATGGTGCTCCGTACCTACGAAAGGTTGACCTTAAAACGTACAACAACTACACTGAACTTTCCATGGCTCTGGAGAAGATGTTTAGCTGCTTCACCATTGGTACTCCTCTCTCTCTCTCTCTCTCTCTCTCTCTCTCTCATGTGCAGACTGAGTTATACGGCAACTTAGTTTGGTGTAAAACGCCCGTTCGGTAGGGTATGATCCAGAGAATAACTTAAGGTTGGTGTTGTAATAGGCTGGTACCAGAACGAAACTAGCTGCCGGAGTAGTGAGACTGCATTAGGGTGTATTAAGTGTTTTTAGGTGTTTTTAAGGGTGTTTAAAGCAATTCTGCTAAACATTGCGATTATCTGTGATTCAGGGCAGTGCAGTTGTAATGGACTTCCGGAGCGAGATGGTCTGAGTGCGAGTCGTCTGATGGATCTTCTCAACGGTTCTGAATTTGTTCTGACTTATGAGGACAGGGATGATGACTGGATGCTTGTTGGTGATGTTCCTTGGCAGTAAGTTTTTAACTGTTCTGTTCTCTATGAACACTCTGTTATGGCTATTTAAACTTAATCGCGGCATGATTAGTGATTAGAAATTGAAATTATCTATAGCTGATTGAATTGCAATTACCTTCCATTCAATATGCAACGCGATTTTACCTTCTAATTGATCGGATCTCAATTTTGACAGTCGGTCTTTATGTTTTCATCTGATCATCAAGTGTGTGTACATGACAGGATGTTCACCGAGACCTGTAGGAGGCTGAGGATCATGAAAGGTTCCGAAGCAATTGGGCTAGGTATGTTCACTTCTACGTTCTGTCTATAACGAATTTGATGGTATTTTCTCTTCTGTCGATGTTCTAATCCCGGGATTGTTACAAGTCCGATTGTAAAGTAATTAACCCGATCACTGTTCTTGTTTGCAGCTCCAAGGGCCGTGGAGAAATGCAAGAACCGGAACTAACACGAACCGCACCAGCTGGGAAAAGCATTCTCCAGGCATTGAAACGGACTCGAGTCGGGTGCTTGTTGCAGAGTCCTAAATATGTTTGATAGTATCCTAGTTTTCGTATCTTCTAAGTTAGAAAGTTTTCGCTGGAGACGTATGTGTTTGATGCTGCTGTTTTTGCCTCTTATGTGTACCACATATTCTAGTTACTGTGTAAAATGTCTTTGCTGCTTGCAAATCTCTCCTTCCTTCTCTTAAATACAGCTGTATAAGTTCCTCCAATGAATTTTGAAACTGAGTTTCCTGTAACCGAAAGTCAAGAACCGATCTGGGTTTGTTTGCAAACGATAAGACAGCAGTTCAACATCATCTTCTTATAGTTTAGATTACATTAGAATATCGCTCGAATAAAAATAAATAACAAACTAAAAAAAAGTTAATTGAAATTTGAAATAAGGATTAAGGAAAACGCTACTGAAACAGAGAACTTTTAATTAATTGAATTTATAAGTATTACAACAGACAAGTTAACTGAATCAGTTAAACCGATAAACTGGACAGCTGAAAACGAGCCGAGTCGGTTCAGCTATGGCATGATACTGGTACAGAACAATCGTCGCTCAGATAAAACTTCAAAGGAAACTTCAAAGGAAATACACGAGCCGGAAAGCTACGAGAAAACTGCATGCATGTTGCATAATATGAACAAACTACTGGAAGCTAAACAATGTATCTGAATCTAGACAGCTCAAAAATTACTGGTTTGATATCTGAACGTAAACCATCTGGGTATATCCATTAAATACGGAAGGGTCGAGTCTGGTTAAACCAAGCCGATTGAATAAGCCATACCGGCCATCTTCAACAATAGGAGTTACGGCACGAGCAGGATCATATCTAGTTTGATGAGTGAGGGATGGACCTGCCACTGGTGGCACCTCCCAGTAAACATCAAGAATCGATTCCACAAACCGACTATTCTGAAAATGTTCTGAATAGGAAATCTTCTTACTACTTTTAGTAAAGTTATCATGCATGTATCCTCTAACACCCCACCATGCTTCACCAGGCCCACAAAGTTCTTCAATATCCACCGCTTTCTCCCAGAACTTCTTCCTTTTTGACCTAATCCTAGCTTCATCGCTGTCTTTATAGCAGCTGTGACCACCTCCTAAAGCACCCCAAAAGAAACTACCAGGATTACTTGTTGAAGCAATAAACCATGACAACAGATCATAAATGAATTCTATGAGGAAACAAACCAGAGACTCCTAAAAGGATTAACCGAAGAACAACACACATTTTGATCAAATGAGTTAAAGATTTGGCCGCATGCTGGGTCTTTCAGCAATTACTCACTTACTCCATGGTTTTACTACAATGGTTTTTTATTTGACAAAACTATCCACCAGTAATTCAATCCATACTACGTTAACTAAAGTTACTTTGGGCATCAGTAAGAAAAGAAAGAGAGCAAAGGTAAGAATGCATGTCAACAACATAAAGCATATGGCGAACAAATAGACTTGAAAAATGAAGGATAACAGGAGAGAGCATGCACCTCTTATATAGGATTGATCACATATCTGCCGTAAGGAATAATGATCTCCTGTTCCAGTATCATAATTATCCTCGAAAATTATGTGCTGAAAACCAGCTTTCAGGGCCTGTGTTACTCTGCTTACCAGAACATAAAAAACGATAAGTCAGCATTGAGCAAGCGATAATTCCAGTGGCCGTGCATAATGAGAGGAAGGAGCAAGATTATATTGAGATATTGCTAAGTACCTTTTCAGTTCATTCTGATGATCATCGAAAAAAATAAGAACACGGCTGAGATCAGTAATCCCATGTTTCTTCATCACTTTTCCCCAATTAACATTTCCAAAATCCAAAAAATCTTTTCCGGTAAAGTAAGTGCAGTTTCCATCAACATATGCAGGGCCCTTCTTTAGAAACTTCCCAGGATGCTTGGGTGTGAGGGTAATAATTGGAGTGTCTGGCATCGCTTGTCGCAAAACCCAAGTGGAATGACCCTTGAAAGCGCCACTCTCAATCATTAGATCCGGCTTCAGCCACTGGGCAATGAACCAGAGCCCAAAACTGTGGTCAAAACCCATCCCATACATGTTGTTTTTTATCGGTCGGGTTTCGTATATAGGTATAAACACTTCCAAGCCCTTGATTAAATCCTTTGTTGTCCACTCAACTGTTTTTCCATGTTTCGATCTGCCTTTTGCCAAGGATAACATAATAAGAATCAAACAAGGGCAAGAACCCAGGGATCTCACAGGCACAATAAGGTATTTAAACCAAATAAAAGAACTCAAAAATCCCAACATTGACTTCGTAACGAATCAATCATGGTCCACATGCTACCGAATTCCAAACATTGAGCAATTGGGACTAACATAGGCATTGGCCACCAAATTTAATGCATAGAACTCGAAATTTAATCAGATTTCTGTTCTGTAGTCTAGCAGAAAAACCATAACATCAATTCGATCATGAACAAATGCTACACATGACTAAAACATATAGAAATGGTCGTAGTATCCGTGTATCTGATACTGGCAAGAATCGAAAGGCGAAATATAAACATTTCAATTCCTTTGAATCATAAACTTACTGAAACTACTATGAATTTTACTGTGCACAAGTAAACTTAAATAAACTAAATTTTCCAACTTTTTCTTAGAAACCCAAAGGTCAAAGATTTGAAATTCATTCCAAGCTCCCTAATTTACTCAGCTATCAGAATTCTACATTTTTCATTTAATTTTAATTGAACAGGGCAAAAATTATAGCAAAAACCCTCGATCTGATATTTAAATCAAACAGCTATATTAACTCAGATCCTTCAATTCATCACAAAGAATGGTAGTTTTAGAGAAAGGAGATCCGACCCTGGTATACTTACACCAAGGCACGCCGAGTGATCCGATATCCGATTCGAGGCCATCGAACCCGAAGAAGCCGGTGCGAGAGACCGGGTCGTAAGACGAGACGCAGACGAATCTCCGGGAGTTGAAGATGAGGAGGAGGACGAGTGCAAGGACGAGGAGGCAGGGCCAGACGGGTCCGGTTCGGGTCAAGTAGTTGGTGATTCTGGTGGTGAAGAAGGAGAAGGGGAGGTGCTTCTTGGTCTTGGACTCATCGGCGACGACGTCGTTTTCCACGGCGGAGTCGTCTGCGTACGGCGCGTATCGGCGCGAGGAGAGGACGCGATCGAGCATTTTGGTGGGGGATCTTTGGGTGGAGCTCGACGGAGAGAGTAGCATTGCTGTGGAGCGTTGAGCTGAGCTTTTCCAGGCCTTGAGGAAGAGTGAGCGAGGTGGGACCTACTTTTCTTGATTGTGATTTACAAAGTGTGGCAAGGGTAATATTGGGAAGAAAGTCGGATAATGGATTTGGTCGCTAGGAAAGAAATCGGGAAATACCTCAAAATGAAATAATTTCTTTATCTTGGGACAATAGTAGTACAAATCAGTCCTACATAAGTTATCCACATCATGGACAAAACCGAAATTACTAAAATACTCACATATAAATGGGTTATGTCCTTCCATTTTCTAATTTCTCTCTCTACTCTCTCTGTCCCTTCCTCTCTTGTTTCTCTCACTGACTCGCTCATGCACTCTCTCTCCCCTTCTCACTGTGAACACACGGTGCACTATCATCTCAATCAACACCGTCCAAATCGAAGGCACCATCAATTTTATCTCGTCCTCACGATTCCAAAACACCTAGCCTTATCACAAATCTTATCCCCGATTGTTGGGATCGAAAGCAACCGCGAGTTTTGCGGCCATTTTCTAGCAACACGGCAAACAATCGAGTCTCTAGACCACCACCATTGAACTCACATCGACAATAGGAACAAAGCCCAATCATTAAATGTTGATGTTTTGTTGGAAGAATTTTTCAGGATTTGCTCACTGTATGTATACGACATGCACATAATATGCTCATAAATTTGAGCCAACCCAAAATCTTAGAAGTTAAATTAGGGTTTGTGTTTCATGTTGGGGCCTAGAGAGGTTTTGGAATAAATTTCAAGTTTTGACGTGCTACAAAACTGAGATGGAACAATTTTTGGTTCAAGTGTCCAATTGCAAAAATTTGTGAATTTTTTTCCGTAATGTGCATACAGTGTGCGTATAGTATGCATGGCTACATCTTAATATAAGAAGCGGGGTTGCGGTTTGGTATGCTGACGAATAAGATATTAATTTGATATGTACTTCTGATAATTAACCATGAAAAACTATGTTATCGCCAATATTATAGTTTAGCAGTAAAAATAGACTTCCTATAATGTATTTGTTGAGCTATCAAGTTATCAGATTCTTATAAACGTATTGTCAAACCAAAATTGCGAATACGTATATCAAATTCCGATTCATTGACAGGTCTATCACTCCACATTTACAAGGAAGTTTTTACTGTATTGGAACAGGTACACCTGTGTTAATATATAAGTGGTAGAAAGTTTTATTTTTTAAGTTGTTAATTTGTTAACACAAGTATCTCATCACTTGTATAGTAACACGTAGTGTATCATCCGGTGTTTCGAACACACTAAAAAATCTCTCCACATTTACCCGACCCATAGTAAAATTTGTGCCAAATAAACCCTTTGCAGTAAAGTTACCATGGCAAAAAAATGAAAAAGAAAAAAGAGGAGCATTCTCTCCCCTCTTAACCTCTCTTCATTTTTCTCCTCTTCTATTTAAACGGTTACGATTGAGTCACGTCAACATCATATTGATTTTTTTTTTTATAGACAAAAAAGACAAAAAACTATGTGTGAGAGAAGGGTAAGGAACATGAAAGTTGTGCCACCGCATAGGGCCCTCAAATTGGAAGAGTCTCAATTTTTCAATTTTACATGCCTATACATATGTGTGTGTGTCTGTGTGTGTCTGTGTGTGTCTGTGTGTGTGTTAGGATTTGGGTCCCATCTGGATTCAAATTGTGGGAATCCTAGGAATCCTCATATCCTAGTTGTTCATCGTACATCGTGAGGTCATAAATTATATTGAATTTTTTATTTAAAATTAAACAAAATAGTACCTTATGAAAAATGATTGCACGATATATGATGAATGGTTAAGATGTGAAGATCCATAGATCCCCACAAACAGAATTCGTAGGATCCTCACAAAAAGGATCCGGAGATGATCCTCATCCTACATATCAAGATGTGTAGAAATTAAAAAAATCAACTGTTAGCACATGAGGTTTTTTTGCTTCTCTATATCCGCCTAGGAATGGGTTCGAAGCTCACAATCATAATTTGTACTTTATTAAAAGCATAAAATTCCACAAAAATAATATAAAAATTCCTAAAAAATAACATAAATATTCGAACTTTGGACCTCTAAAACCTACTCAAACTCAAATTTTAGGTTTTAATCTTATCCTAACTTACTTCAACCCTTAGACTAAACCCAACCCTGGGCTAAATGCTATTTTTTAGATTTTATTCCCCTCCTCCCCAAACTCAACCCAACCTATGTTAAATGTATGGGCTAAAAAGTTAAAAATCAAACAAAAACCAAATTCCCCCTAAGATTTAGCCCAGAAAATGGTGTGGGCACCACTAGACCCCACTCACATGGACATGTTTTCCAGGATTTATTGAATTCAACGGCTGAGATTGAATATAATCAAATCTAATGGTAAAAAAAAGATCTAATAGCCCAAATTTAAATCCAATGGCTAAAATAATTACAAAAAATATTTAACTCAAAATTCATCCAAATTTAGTGAATTTTCAATAGTTATTGGAATTTAAATATTTTCAGGTTAAAATGTTCATAAAATTAAATTATGATAGTGTACATAATTTTTTTTAAAACATTACTTTAAAAAAAAAGCCTAAATTTATTCTTTAATAGCTAAAAAATTTAGGCTAGAAGGGTTGAAGCAGAAAAACTGTTTCTAGGTTAAAACCTAAATTTTATGGGTTAAAATTTTAGGTAAAACCCAAGAATTGGAGATGGTCTTAGGAAAAATATGAGTTTTAATCTAAAACTCATTTCTAAGGCAAATTTAGCCCAGGATTCTCCCTGGGTTAGTGGAGTTGGCGCATCATATATATGTACTTTTTTTAGTTTTATATTTATAAATTCATTGAATCCAACGACTAAGATCTAATACGATTAAATCCAACTGTAAAAAAAAAAAAAAAAAAAAAATATCTAATGTCACATCCCAGCCTTCCCTCGCAGTGATATTGTCCGCTTTGGCATTCCTCCTTTGGACTAGGTCGCAGCAGAGGGCTACCGCACGGTTTTGTTTTTGCAAGCCGCAGCTCCAAAAGGCCTCACTAAAAGGTACATGCTGGCAATGGATATATAAGGCCCAAAGTCCACGCTCTCACGGGCGATGTGGGATACTACAATCCACCCCCCTTAGGGAGCCCGACGTCCTCGTCGGCACACCACGACCGTGAGTCTGGCTCTGATACCAAATTGTCACATCCCAGCCTTCCCTCGCAGTGATATTGTTCGCTTTGGCATTCCCCCTCTGGACTAGGTCGCAGCAGAGGGCTACCGCACGGTTTTGTTTTTGCAAGCTGCAGCTCCAAAAGGCCTCACTAAAAGGTACATGCTGGCAATGGATATATAAGGCCCAAAGACCACGCCCTCATGGGCGATGTGGGATACTACAATCCACCTCCCTTAGGGAGCCCGACGTCCTCGTCGGCACACCACGACCGTGAGTCTGGCTCTGATACCAAATTGTCACATCCCAACCTTCCCTCGCAGTGATATTGTCCGCTTTGGCATTCCCCCTCTGGACTAGGTCGCAGCAGAGGGCTACCGCACGGTTTTGTTTTTGCAAGCCGCAGCTCCAAAAGGCCTCACTGAAAGGTACATGCTGGCAATGGATATATAAGGCCCAAAGACCACGCCCTCACGGGCGATGTGGGATACTACAATCCACCCCCCTTAGGGAGCCCGACGTCCTCGTCGGCACACCACGACCGTGAGTCTGGCTCTGATACCAAATTGTCACATCCCAGCCTTCCCTCGCAGTGATATTGTCCGCTTTGGCATTCCCCCTCTGGACTAGGTCGCAGCAGAGGGCTACCGCACAATTTTGTTTTTGCAAGCCGCAGCTCCAAAAGGCCTCACTAAAAGGTACATGCTGGCAATGGATATATAAGGCCCAAAGACCACGCCCTCACGGGCGATGTGGGATACTACAATCCACCGCCCTCTGCTGCGACCTAGTCCAGAGGGGGAATGCCAAAGCGGACAATATCACTGCGAGGGAAGGCTGGGATGTGACAATTTGGTATCAGAGCCAGACTCACGGTCGTGGTGTGCCGACGAGGACGTCGGGCTCCCTAAGGGGGGTGGATTGTAGTATCCCACATCGCCCGTGAGGGCGTGGTCTTTGGGCCTTATATATCCATTGCCAGCATGTACCTTTTAGTGAGGCCTTTTGGAGCTGCGGCTTGCAAAAACAAAACCGTGCGGTAGCCCTCTGCTGCGACCTAGTCCAGAGGGGGAATGCCAAAGCGGACAATATCACTGCGAGGGAAGGCTGGGATGTGACATCTAACGGTCCAAATTTAAGTCCAACGGCTAAAGTAATTAAAAAAAAATTACTGTATGTGTTTTATATTATTTCATAGTGTTTCACGAGTTTCATAGTGTCGGTTTAGAGATTTTTCAATATTTATAGGAATTTAAATATTTTTAGGTTAAAATGTTCATAAAATTTAATTAGGATAGTCTAAATTTTTATTTTTATTTTTAAAGTTACTTTAAGAATTATCCTAAATTCATTATTTAATACTCTCGGGCTAAAAATTTAACCCAAAATGGTTAGAGGAGAAAAAATGTTTTTGGGTTAAAAATTTTAGGCTTTAACCCAAAGATTGAAGATGGTCTAAACAATTAAATGCATAAACTTTCACAAAAATAATATAAAAATTCCACAAAAATAACATATATATTCGAACCCTAGACCTCTAAATAATTAAGTTTATTAAATGCATAAACTTCCACAAAAATAATCTAAAATTTCCACAAAAATAACATAAATATTCGAACCCTAGACAAAAAACAATAATCCACCATTCCATCAGTTGATTTGTTAAAGGTTTTTGTGCTATTACAATTTAATCTAAAATTCCAGGCCCGGTTCTGATGGGAAGGTGATGAGAATAAGAAAGTAGAGAATCTTATTTAAAAAAAAAAAAGAAAAAGAAAAAAAAAAAAAAAAAACCCCTGCCTAACGCACAAAGGATACGTGTCATCAGATTAAGAGCTGAAACTTGCAATCCACCTCCGTCTGGACCGTCTCGGCCCATCACCTCCTGTCTCCTCCTTCCTTCATCTTTTGAAGACATAACCGCTAATGTTAGCTTCTTCCAGGTCCCTCTTCAGGTAACTTCTAACACTCTGTTTGCCTCCTGCCCTTAATTCATTCACCTATCTACAAAAACCGCTCAACTTTTCAGTTGCTGAGTTCTCCGGCGCCAAACTGCGCCTGATTAATTTATCAAAATAAACAACTTTTATTTTTTTTAGCAGAATAATTCATATTTATTAAACTATTCGTTCTGAGGAGAGTTAAAGAGATGACATTTTGATGTTATTTTTGCAGAGTGGATCGGTTTCTGAAATTTACAACTGCATATGATGCACTGAAGCCAGTGAATTGCTTCCTAGTTAGTTTTCCTTTCTTAATTGTCAATTAATTAGGTTTAACATTTATTCTGCATATAAAATTGTGTATTTTGGTATTTAATTATGCCCTAATGTTGCATTATGGCCATGGTAATATATATATATATAGACACACACACACACACACTCATTTTTTGCATACTGCATAGTGATCCTTACTGTACTTGTGGATTTTCACAAAAGGATTTCCTTCGGCTGCTCGACGGATAAGCGATTATTTCATTGAAAAGAGAAACTAATGGAGTAATTTTGGATTTTTTTTTCCTCCCAAAAATTGTAGCCTCTGAAAATTGATTAATGGAAAACTATGCTATGTTAGTATGCGTTTTTCGCCCACCTCACCGAGGAGGGAAAAAACGAATTGATTTCGTGTGAAACTGAGTTTGCAATTGAGTTCAGAGTGTAGGTGACGGTGGTTGTTAATTCAGTTGTGATGCTTTCTGGATTTCCCATTAGATTGAATTTTGTGACTCAAACTTGTTGACAGGGACACTGTGATTATCGCAGTTTGAGTTACAATATCGAAATGAGTGGTAGAAAAGACAAGCAAACTGTTGGGGACCGTAACAAAAAGCTCAGAACAACTAATGCTGTGTGGAGACCAGTCAGTACTCAAGCTAGTTCCAATGAAGGTGGGTTACGTTTTATTAATTATCATCCAGCGGCCCAGACTATAAGAAACCAATTACTTTTCGCATTGATTTTAATTCTTTCAACTTTAGATACTGATTGCAGTATAATTTTCATTAGTCTTTTTATTAATATTGAGACATACAGAAACATGCAGTTATATTTACCGTTTTGTATAATGATCTAGAAATTGTTGGTAGGCCATTCTGAACTTTGATTGGGTTGGAAAAGAAAAAACTATTTCTGTGAAAAGAGGTTATCGGCATGGTGATTGGTTGCCATCCAGATTTCTTACAGATTGTTGATGTGGATTTGCAGAATGCTCTGTAAAGGAGGTCACAGAAAAGCTGGAATCTGGAACTCAAGTGCAAGAAGTGCACGAATGCACTTCTATGAGAATTTCAAGTTTGGAGAATGTCATAGAGGTGGCTGCAACTAACCTCGCTGCTTGTTCCAGTGCATCACAAGATAATGGAGAAGATAAAGTCTTTGGAGGAGAGCAAGTGGTTTCTACTGAAAAGCATTCAATTTCAGTTGAGGCATGATTTTTTTAAAATCCTTTATTTTTGGTTTGGGCTTAATTCTACCATATAAAAGATTTAAGATCTTTCTTGCTTGCACCTTTCATGCTACTATGATATATATTTCCTTTCCCTTTTTCCCTTGTTCTTGGGATACGAGGGGTTATGGGAAGAGTTTTGGGACCAAAGAAGTTGAGTGACTGCGGAATAGAAACAAAATAACATGGACTATCATCTTATGGTTGGAATTTTGTAGGATTGTTGCAGACCTAGTGGCAGTATTGTTAACTGCATATTGTACTTCAAAGGCATTTCTCATAATGCTTTACATGCCCTTCTGTTCCTTTTAAGTTCCTACATTTCACCTTTTTATTGCTTTGGTGACACTTATTCTGTTTATTTTGCACTCACACTCTTCTTTGATATGCAGGTTGGTGCTTCTTTGTTTCGCTTTGTTAGAGGAAAAGGGTACACAATTCAACATAAATATTTTTAAAAGTATGCAGGATTACTTTCTTGTGTGTTGTAACTATTATTATGTTTTTGGTGCGTCAGGGGATTGACACAGAAACAGATTGAGGACGAGATGGGAGTTAAGATTAGAATCCCTTTGTCAAAGGAGGAGGATTCACTAAGTAAGTTACTAAGTTTTCACCCTTTAAGGTTAATAAAATTGAGTTTATGTTAAAATAAAAATAAAAAATTGCTCAGGTCTCTAGGTCAAGTTTTACATAATTGTGGCAGGAGGAAATTTCAACCAAGTTTATATAATATAATGTTCCTATATGAGAATTTCAGGCAGTCTGGGAACTGTGAAGTTGGTTTAACTGTTGTTACCTGGTTATCTGTCACAGCAATTGAAGGCGACTCAGTTGAAAGTATATCTAGAGCTTCTGAGAAGATAAAATCTATAGTTGACCAGGTCAGTTTGCCTATCAATATGGTTTTGCAGAAGATAGGGTGGCTGTTATCTTATATTGTTACTTTATCAGTAATTTTGTTTGGGTCCATTATTTAAGGGCTTAACCAGACACTCTACTTGAAACTTATTCCCGTTCATCTATATGCACTATTTATTTCTCATCATTACTCTTCCTTTTGCTGCTGAGAGCATACTGTTAAGCATATAACTAACTTTTTTCTTTCCTGCTGAAACACACAGGCAGTTAAAAGCTCAAATCTCGATTACTCTCACTTCATTTCACTTCCATTGGCAATACATCCTGAATTAGTTGATAAGCTCGTCAACTTTCAGAACTCAATCCTGGGAATTAGTGATTCTGGTGTAGATGATAATCTGGATGGTAATTCAAATGAAGAGAACTCTGAGAGTGAAGGTGAAGACCAAAATTTAGAGAAAAGACCCGATGTCGCAGTTGAACTTAAAGTTGAAGGTGACCATCAACATGTTAAAGTGAATCTAACCAACATACCTCTTGTCAGTTATGCGCTTAAATCATCAAAGGCGGCTACCCTACCTGGTATGAAAGTCATTATGAATGGAAAATTTCAAAATAATCATGATTTACAAGACTTTAGGAGTTAAAACGGTTTTGAATAAAATGATAGTGAAATTAACCGGTTTCCATTTTCTTTTAATGAAGCTGATGATTGGGTCATTGTTAATTGTTAGTGGATTGCTCTATTTTCTTTCATGTGTGTTTTCCTTTTTTTGTTCTCGTTTAAACTTACTGAAAATGATGTCCTTGTAGTTCGTAAACAAGTTATCTATTTTCCTCTTTTTAGTCTGTCAAAAATCTTATTGAGTTATGTCCACTTGACAGACTTGGGGATTGAAAAGTCAATATTCATTAAACCAAAAACTTTTCACTTAACTGTGCTTATGCTGAAGTTGTGGAACAAGGACCGAGTTCATGCTGCTGCTGAGGTTTTGCAGGTAAGTGTATCCGAATCAAATAATAATAGGCTGATTGAAGGCTACTTGACATGAGTTGTTTTATTTTTTTTCATCCAGAGAATCTCTTCAAAAGTGATTGAAGCCTTAGATAATCGCCCTGTCTCCATAAGACTGAAGGGACTGGTATAATTTTTTCTTCAGAATCTTTACTAAACCCAATAGCGTGTTAGCTAATGGTGTGGAACAAGGACCCCATGTGGTTAAGTTGTTAAATCAGACATGTTTTGGTGAGGTTTAAATTATATTCTTGTTAGTTTATACCTCTGTCTACTATTAAAAGAATGTAAGCAAGCAATCTTTGCGCTGTCTCAGATGTTTTCATTTTCTATGTTACTGACTAAAACTAGATTCATCTTGAGTAGTACCTTTACCAAAAGTAGCAGTTTCCGCAGAATGAATATTATTGATCTTTGCAAGAAAATACAAACATGTCGGGGATAAAATTCCTGGTTTGAGGCGTGTTTTTTTTTTTTTTTTTTTTTGTTAAAGAAAAAGTCTCTTTGATCCCTTTTATTTTATTGTCTGAAAGTGTAATGGGATCCATCATGCACCAGTTTTTTTTTTGGGTTTTATCTTTTTTCGTTCTTTTTGCTTGTGTGACCTTTGGATCTTATATTTTATTGTTAAAAATTGTCTCAATTCTGATTTCTGTGCTATTTAAGACTCGAGGTGCATGAATGAGACTGAATACTTCTTGTCCTTTCAGAATTGTATGAGAGGTTCTTTGGCCAAAGCTGGTGTTGTCTATGCTCCAGTTGAAGAAATTGGCACTGAGGGACGACTTCTGCGTGCCTGTCGTATCCTAGTTTTCTGAGCATTCATTATATTTTATTTTAGTGCTTGGTATACCTGGAATCAATAAAGAAAAAGAAAAAAAAAAATTCTGGTCTACGTTTTAGTTGTTTATATGAATTTGATGCCCATTTTAAGTTTCTTTAGCTTTTCATAGAAGTCATCATCGATGCATATATTGAAGCCGGGCTTGTTTTGGAGAAAGATGCTAATCAGAAATTGAAGGTATTGTTTACGATCTTTAACTATATTTGCACTCTTTTGATGTTTTACTTATATCTCACTCTAAGAGTCACTTTGGGATTCTTGTTTTTATGATTGCAGTTGCATGCAACCGTGATGAATACAAGGCACAGGAAAAGGTTAAAAGTTTCTTTGACTATGGTGCTTATTAGGTCTTCCCGGTGTTGGGGATTCTGAAGTGTTTGTTCGTTAAAGTTTCTTTTACCTGTGGCTGATATATGAGATTGTAATATGCAGGAAGAAAGGAACGAGAAAGGTTAATTCCTTTGATGCGCGTGGTATTTTCAAGCAATATGGATCGGAGGAATGGGGAGAGTATCTTATCCGCGAAGCTCATCTTTCACAGAGGTTTGTGTTTGATGACAAAGGATATTACCGTTGTTGTGCTTCTATACCTTTTCCTGAAATATGCAAGTAGACCGCTTCACTGACACTCAAAATGTTTGTTATCTTCTCTCTCGAGTAGGAAACAATCTGTAACATAGGAATTACGTTTCAGAATAAATTCGATCTTGATTTACTAGGTTTTCGACTGCAGCTGCATCATACTTCACCAACACAAGTAGGTTAGTTCTTTTGGAAGCAGAAATTTGGTCTTTAAATGTCGATGGGGACCTCTAGGAGGAATGTAAGCTCAACATTAACACATGCCACCTGATGGAATGATTACTTCAAACCTGAACCATTCATTCCGATTCAACCAGACAGCTGTATATGTTTAAACCTACTCCTCGTACGTACCGGATTTTGCAGTCATAGTTCGACCCTCGTCTTTCCCCTCTGAACCGAAAAACAAAAGAGAAGAAAAACAGCACCGGACATCACGTTGTAGCGCCTGAACAGAAAACCCCTAGTATCCTTAAATATTGACAACCAAGGCTGCAACCTGGACTAATTTTCCACACATCATACGGTTTACTTTGCATATGCTCACAATTACGCTCGCAAGGCGTACCCCCCTGTCTTTTTCTTTGAATAAAAATCCATGTAAATCAGTCAAAATTCATATAGAGTTGCAAAGTTTATTAAATTTTTTTGAAATCTTTCACTTGAAGAAAATCTATTAAAATCTTGTGAAATCCAACTGATTACACCAACCAATAGCGATGGTTCCAGATTGGTTTTTGTTGGGGGGCTAACGTGTTTAAACGTGATTATGAGCTGGTAGCCATAATTCAACAAATATGCAGGTGTGGTGTGGTTCAAGAAACAGCTGACTGGAAAGGTGATTTCAGTACTATATTTTTGACTAGAAAGGGGACCTATGACAAGAATATTTCTTTTAGTGGGACGATAGATCTGAAAAGACGGATTTCTTTTTTTATCTTTTTTATTAATTTCGGGCCAAATACGATTGTGAGGGCTAATCAAATCCCTAAGTTGAGTTGCATTTGTCACAAAAATGGGGTTTCTTTAGAAGAAAAATAACTTGTAATCTATGATGCACAGATACTTCACTTAGGTCGCACATCTCATACTTTTCTGATATGATACTTGTAAGATATTCTCGGATGCTTGTTAGATACGTATCATGATCAACGGATAAACTTTGACTCAATAGACACACATATCATGCTTTTAGGATACTTTTGCACTTTCAAATAAGAAAATAAAAGAAAACAATTACTAAGAGACGGAACTTAAATTGATATCTGATAAATATGAAGAGCTAACCACTTCTACATATATTATAGAGAATTAGATTTCCAACTTTTCTTCTCCAACAAATCAAATGAACTTGAATTTGGATGATGAAATCGAATTCTTGTGTTATCAAAATATGTTCTAAATGTTGCAGTCATATTTAGAATAGGAATGTGATTGTGTATATCCTAGTGTATCTAGGGATATCTTTGAATATTCCTTTTAGTAGTTAATATCCTATTAGAGTTGTAATCCTAGAGGGGTAAGGATTTAACCTATCCTACTACTATAAATAAAGGCACAATGGAGTGATATAACACACACCTCACAATTAAATCTCTTTCTTCTCTCTCTCACGACTGCCGGCCTCCCTCTCTCTATTCCCTTAAAATAGCTCAGTTAAATAGTCCTACAACACATTATCAACATACTCTTGCCAGAAGCTAAGGAATTAAAGGATCGTAAAAGGATGCTCTCTTCCACAAAATTCAAAGGCTTCTATTTGTTTTCTACCAATCAAGTACGCTTAAAATAAAGGAAGATATTTGAAACGTCCACAAAGCATGAAAACATTCCCCATGATGCATGAACCCCCTATGTTTATATTTTCCTTCCGATATATATATATATATATATATATATTGTATATGTTTCATATATTTGTCAATATATATATATGTTTCATGCATTACGCAATTATATTGCTATGTGGAATTTATGAGTCAAAACATATAAATAAATTAGAAGCATGTTACGGTTTTTCAAACCCTAGAAAAGTCGAAAAAAAACTCTGGAAACCGTGTGGCACTGCCGTTGCACCACCATCGTGGCTCCGTCGAACCATTGTCGCTGGCCTGAAGCTCAGCCGGGAGCATATCATGGAACGGTGTTGTTTTGACACCTTCGACCTCACGGCAGTAGTCCTTTGGGCTTTACTGCATTGACTTGGACACCCCAGGCCTTCTACATAATAAGCTTCATAAGCCTGAAGTCCCTTAGCCCAACCAAGAAAGCCTGTAGCCTTCTTGGGCCGGTTATCCTGCGAGTCCCTAGCCCAACTCCAGCAATCCAGTATTGCTGGGATTACTTTTGCCCTATGACTTGGTCTGCCCGTAGTAACCCATAGTTAACTGGGTTTTGCCCCAGCATTCAGCCCGTTTGCCTCCAGCTTTTGCTACTGGGCTTAAATTGCCTCGACCCAAAAACATGAAACCACCCAGCTTCGGCTGGGCTTCCTCGGACCAACACAGGGCCAACTTTCGCTAGGCCTGCACCCGTATCTAATTTTTTGCCCAAAACTTGCAGCCGAACTGCAGGGCCCACTTTTTTTTTTTTTTTTTTTGACCTGGATGTCATTATTTTGCTTCAACGATTGATCTCATTTGGTCCTAATCTATTGAATTAATTAAAAGTGACCTATAGTCCATTAATCTAATAATTAATCCAAAATTATTGACATGAAGATCACTTTTGGATATTAACGATTTAATAATTTATTTTTATACTTTGAACCGTTGACATCCTTTCGTAGTCCTGAAGCTCTCACACTTGAGTTCCCACTTAAATCAGCATATTACATTCTGTGTTCTTGCAAAAACCTCTCCTTTATGAACTAATCGTTCATAAAACTAAATTGAATTTGTAGTTTCATATTTAGTGCCCTTGAAACCCGAAGTTTTCATTCAAAACTTACCATATGAAACCCATGGTTTTCATGCATAAATTAAACCAATACATGTCTATAGAACTCGAATGTTCTACTATATATGTATATGGATCACTATATGATAACCACGTTTTTGTTGTACCCTTCGTTTGTCTTTCTCTTCCTCCTCACTCTCGCTCGGCATATTTTCTGAATCCTCAATTCTCAACAAAATCTCATAAAACTCCTGATAGGTGTCACAAGGGGTAGTGGTCGCCATTGAACGCCACTACTTCTTAGTGCCTAAATTGAAATGACGAAGCATCTCCACCAAATTGCAAGCAACATCGGGATGATAGTGAGACAAATCAGTAAACCTCCGATAGTACTCATTTGTTGTCAGCTTCCCCTGTCTCAACTCAATGAATTCCTGCCTTTTGTGGTCAATATACTCAGGAGACACAAACCTTCTCCTGAACAACTCTTTGAATACATCCCAATCAGTCTTCTCTGCTGGAGATAAACGACGAAGTTCCTGCTCCCACCAGGACGCAGAATCCTTACCCAAAAACCACGATGTCATCTCTACCCACTTCTCGACAGGGAGATTCCCCTGGTTATGCAAAACACGAAAGGTCTTCTCAATATGTTCTAGCCACCGCTCCGCACCCTCAAAACCCTCGTTGCCTTCGAACTTATCCAACTTCAGATTATACATAGTCTCCAGAGGAGTCCTCTGGGGAGGGCGGAGCGCTGAATGAATAACTATAGTGATAGCTTCCCCCAACTGAGCTACATAGGTGAAACTAGGCTCAGCAAAGCGACGTGGTTCCCGACGAGGCGGCATAATTCTGACAAAAGACACCAAAACCATTAGAATACTCACAAAAGTACAGGACTGCGAAACCTAGGCTCTAATACCAAACTGACACACCCTGATCGAGATCAGGGCATGCTGGCCGTCACGTGGAAGTGACGTAACCATGTGCACAGTGCGGAAGCTAATAAAATAATAATAAAAGTACGAATAAATAAAAACCAGCTTTACACAAAGTAAGAACATACATGTGCAAGCGTAAGTGTGAAAAACAAAGTTCAGAGCTCGAAGACCTAATGCAGTCCGGGAGAAATAACACTACAAAAACACACCCAAAGGTGATCCTATACTGGTGATAATCTGTCAGATATGCCGGGGAAATCCTCTGGGGAGCCACCAAAAGTGCTAGCCAACTAGGACCTGGAGGGGCACAAAACAAAAAATGTGAGTGGGCAAAAACAAAGCTTTTCAAAAACCATTTCCTAAACAAAAGTCTAACCCCTTGCCGTAAAACCTGTATACTTCCCAGAAAAATAGAATATACATATATATAAGTCATGCTCAGAAATATGCCATGCCAAAAGCCTCGAAATACAATGCAAGTGCTCAGGTAATGTCAAATCAATGCCAAGTAATCTGTCAGCCGGAGTCACCTAACGTGACCTGTACGGCTGAATCTAGAGCTCAGATCTCCATCTCACTAATTGTACCTGCACACGAGTCGGAACCACCTAGAGTGGTCTGTACGACAGGACTGGGTGTATAATAAGTGCGCTCAAGTGCTACGATCACGTGAAGGCTGAGCGACTAATCGCGGGTCACCTACGAGTCGAAACCACCTAAAGTGGTCTGTACAACAGGATTGTGCACCTAACTTGGATCCAAGATGAGCGTGTGGTGCGGGAGGTGAACATCACGTGAAGGACTGTACCCAACTTTGGGCGGGAACACTAACACCGGGAGTGCAGGTTATGAGCTCTCTATGCATCTCAAATCATTACTGAACATAAACGTAAATCATAACTTACCTGGCACTTACCTGTGCGTCCGCAGCACTAAACATATATATACATATGTGACTAATAATGCGTAAATAAATGTCAAACAATAAGCATGGCATATAAATATATAAATGTTTCATTTCACTTTCTGGGAAAAGCATAAGTATATACGTATATACGGAAAACCAAAAGCCCACTCACTGGTATGTAGAAGGGTCGTAACCCCTTTGCCTCGAGTGATCGCGCTCGTCCTCGGGATAGGTCTGACCTATATGCGAAACAAGTATAAAAACATTAATTTTAAAGCACATAACCAACATCATGAAATAACTTCTCATACAATGCTCAAATGGGGTGTATGAATACACCAACGTGATCTACTCAACCTTAGGAACATCCCCATATTTTTAGAAAAA